GCAGCGCGGGGCGGCGGGGACAGGGAGGAGGGGTCCCGAAGGCTTCCAGGCTCCCCACCCACCCTGTCCCTGCCAGTTTTTAGTCCATTGGAATGCGTTTCAATGGGCTTTTTAATTTCGCTTTACGATGTTTCCGTATAGCGACGTTAATCCTGGAACGGATTAACGTTGCTATACGGGGCACCACTGTAATGTTGACTTGCAATTCTTACACTCTCATCAACAACATTTTGAGGCCTGTAGCATTTGTCTGTTAGAAGTTGCTTCTGACTTGAAATTATTTTCTTCAGTCAAAATATTAAAGCCACCCTTGTTGATGCTTTGTAATGCGCATGTCATTAAATGTAATAGATCAAATAGATCAGAACTGTACGGATTTAATGTTTCATCACGTTTTTATTTAATTAAAGCTCTAGTAATCTTTGATCTTGTACAGAAGTATCTGAAGAAATTCTAAACTTGTGCTGTTGGATTAAGCTTTTAGATGATCTAGAACAGTGGTCCCCAACCTTGGGCCTCCAGATGTTCTTGGACTTCAACTCCCAGAAATCTTGGCCAGCTGAGGTGGTGGTGAAGGCTTTTAGGAGTTGTAGTCCAAGAATATCGGGAGGCCCAAGGTTGAGGATCACTGATCTAGAACATATGTAGCCACTTTAGAAGAGGTAGCCATGTTAGTCTGTGCTAGTATACCAGGCAAAAGAAAAAGAAAAATTAAAAAATAAAGAAGACTAAAAAATGGCACCTCAAAGTCTAAGTGCTATATTTTAATGTGAGCTTTCATGAACAAGTCCACTTCCTCAGATGTAAGAGAATATGTGGGTCATCTGTACTGTAGTTCTATGGGGGGCTGTCTTTGAGCAGTTACCAGGGTTGAGCGGTCATCTCAGGGAAAAAAACTCTGTAATATATCGTTTGAACCAAGATCCCAGGAGTTAGAGTTGAATTCATGGCTTAGTACAAAGCTCAGTTGACTAATGGCAATGCTGGGCTCTGTAGCTATGGGATCCAGGCTCATAATATAAGCTTATGGAATGTAAGGGTTTTAAGGTGGGAAAATAGGGGCTTTGAGTAGGAAAAAGAGAATTTGAATTGTGATTTTTGCTCAGACTAAGGATAAGTTAAACAAAATTAATTATTCTTTTGTTTCTTCATAATGGCAAACCTGTTTGGAGTTCTTTCTCAAGAGTACCTCTTGCTCTTCTCTTTAGTGGAACAGTTTCATGGAAGTCAAGAGATACAATACCTTTGCCCTTGAATCATTTATGCTTAGGTAATTGTGAGCAAATAATTCATTAAGATATGTTGTGTGAAAAGAGGCATTGAATGTTAGTCCAGATGTTGTTTTAAAGCACAATGCTGTCAGAGCACAAGGTTTTTGTAATACGTCGTTCGCTCGTTTAGTCATTTAGTCGTGTCCGACTCTTCGTGACCCCATGGACCAGAGCACACCAGGCCCTCCTATCTTCCACTGCCTCCCGGAGTTGTGTCAAATTCATGTTGGTTACTTTGCAGACATTGTCCAGCCATCTCATCCTCGGTCGTCCCCTTCTCCTTTTGCCGTCACACTTTCCTAACATCAAGGTCTTTTCCAAGGAGTCTTTTCTTCTCATGAGATGGCCTAAGTACTGGAGCCTCAGCTTCAGGATCTGTCCTTCCAGTGAGCATTTTGTAATACACTAATATGCAATTCTGTGACATTATGGGAAAGCACAGTCTGGGGTGTACTGATTCAGGCATATTCCTAATGGCTGGATTTGCTTTAGCTGTGAACAAAGCAGTCATTATATGTGGTTTCCATTCCCCCTCCTTGCTTCTCTCACTAGCAGTTTTACTTCTGAATTGAGGTAATGAGGAAATAATTTTTAGGAGGTTCCCATGGGGTTACCAAAGACACATGTGGTCCCTTTAAAACTAACAGATTTCTTATTGATTGAAGCTCATTTCTTGAGATGCAGCTGAAGAATTGGGCTGTCTATCCACAAAAAAATTTCTAAGTTGCAACGTCAATTTTTTTCCTCTCTCTGTCTCTGTGCATTAAAAGAAAGTGAAGGACTGATGCTTCTGAATATTGCTTGTAGGGGTTTCACAAGGCTCCAGAACACACCCATCTCCTCTTGTGAGAGGAAAGAGTTGTGGTCTGTGTTCAGAGAGACAATTGTGCCATCCCAGTTCTATATACGTTTGAAGCATTGGGAGGGAATGTTATCTAGATGAATCAGGTAGTTTTGGGAACATCTCTAGCTTTTTTTTCTTTAACAGATAACCATTGCTGATTTTTAATGTGGTTAATGGTTGTGCTAAAATCAGTGTTACAAGTCAAAATTCAGTTACTTATTCCAGTTGATATAAACTCATTGAATCAGTTTCTGAATGATGTGTCAACATTTGGGTAAATCTAATTGAGTGGATCTGCTAGCATGGTGCATTGGATAGAGTGATGGATGGACTAGACTTTAAGAAACTTAGATTTGAATCCCTGCTTAGCCATTCACTCTCTCTGTGTGCGTGCGTATCCTGTACACCGACCATATAAATCCATTCTTCTCTTCAGTTAGCAGACAATGCTTGCAAAAAAAACGCTTGTAGATAAAATTTGGGGTCAGTTGTGATATAGCTCATGCAACCTGTGGGTCTAACACAAATGCTTTATGTAGAATCACTGTAGCAGCCACTCCAGACTTCTTATGGGAAAGTACTGTATATTACTTTTATAATCCCAAAATGTTCCAGTCTTCTTCTGTATGTATGATAGTGAGAGAGAAATGGATATGTGTGAGAATAAGGATAAATTAACCAAATCACTTCATCTTTTTGTTTCAAATGGAATGCAGGCTAAACTGTTCGTGCGGGCATAAGGGCATACAGTACCACTTTTGGGGATCTACCCTTGTATTGGGGGTGTTTGTGGATATTAATTTGAAATTGTATGTTGTCGTTATCTTTGAATTCTCTGTTCCACTGAAATGTGCTTCTTCAGAGAAGAAGTTGCTTGCATTCTGTTTAGTGTAGATGCCACAGCTGGGACAAAATTGTCGATATTCATACTACAGTATTGTATTTTGCCATTGTTTATGCTAGTTTCAGAACACATCACCTGATGTTATTATCTAGAGATCATTTAGTAATATGATGACATATCTCAAAGAAATGGTACTTCTGTGGGCCATTATTAATGGCAGTGCTGCCTTTGTGTTATTTGTCTGCAATTGAGACTGTTTGGGACATGTCAGCCTTTGCAATATTGAAAGAAGGAAGCATCATATATAAATGCACATCTGAGGCCAATTATGTTTTCTGAGAAGTTGATACAAGAATTTGTACAGTTCGGTAAATGAGCAAGACATGCCTAGGTTCTGTCCTAGAGGAGCAGAATATAGGCCTCTACATATTTTGGGGTTGTCACTGAAACTCGGAGCACCAACAGAAGGAAACTCCTGTAGGCCCCCTTACTTTTGTTTATGTTCAGATGCCCTGGCAACATTTTGTATTCTTTTTCAAACACTACAAACTATCTGGGAAAAATGTGTCTCTAAATAAGGTAAAGTCAAAAAATATATCTGCCCTTTGAAATAGAAGTGTCCAGGTGACTGCACCTGGCTGTGTTTCCCTGCCCATATTCTTTTTAACAGTAATACTCTTCTGACATTAAAGAATCATTTTCAAGCAGACTCAAGGGAAAGGTTTCAGTTTAGTGTGATGACCAGTTAGTATGGTGTCAAATAAGAAAATATAAGATAAGATGATAATCTGATAACAATGGCATAGTCCATTGTTTTTCATTCTTTTCTCACATAGAAGTGACTCAATATGCAAATATTTCATTCTAGGCTTTGTTACCTAATATGTCAGAATAGCTGCATAGCACAATTGAAGAATGAAAGAGAAGAAAGGTGACTAGGGAAAGACTGTTTGTCTCTAACCTTTCCATATGGTATAACATTATCTCTTTGTTACAGAGCCATCATCAACCACTTCAATCCGAAAATAGAATCTTATGCTGCTGTGAATCATATCTCACAGCTCTCTGAAGAGCAGGTGAGTTGCAAACTATCTTTCCCTAGTGGATGTCTAGGAGTTTCCTTATAACACACACTGCTGTCCAGATGAGTTAATCACCCAGCTGGCAGCATCAGAAGCCCTCTAGTATCCCCAGGGGGTGTGTAGCAAGCTGTCAGAATAGCAGCTGATAAACACATAAGCAAGAAATGTGACTTGTGCAGCTATGTGGTTGAAGATAGCAGTGTGGTCTAGGGTGAAAGACTTGCACAGAGACCCTAAATTCCAAGAGAGAGTGCGCCAGTCTCAAGGTGATTTGCCATCAATATCGGCTGCAATAATACTGTAATGCAGTGAGCTCTTGACAGTAGAGCGCTTTCCTGGTTGGTAAAACACAAAGAATGAAGCGTTACATGAGAAGCACTAAATAAATTAGAGCATATTATACTTGCTTTTCAGGAAAATGAAATTCTCTAAGCATTGAATATTTATTTTAAGTACATTTCTACGTAAGTAAGAAGATTTTTCACAGGGAGAAGAATTAGAGTTCCCTTTTATTTTTTTCGTTATTCAGCCTGATTTCTCTGTCTCAATGCTGTCAAATATGTATAAATGAATCTTCCTGAAAGTAAAATATCCAGTTCATTAAAACACGTATACAGAGTCAAGGATTAAGAGTTGTGAAGTATGGAAGTAGCTAGTCATTTTCCCCCAGTTTAATTTATGATTAAGATAAAGAATTTGAATGTCTAGGAGAAAGATGGAGCATCCTTGTTCTTAGGGTTTTTTTTTAAAGTACACTTACTGTACAGAAATAGTAAGTGCCAAGCTCTGGATATTTAATCTGCTTAACTCAATGTTAATCTCAGGAATTCTGCACAGGTTACTGTGTTCTTTTACAGATCACCATTCATCCCAGTGTTGTTGATTATATCAGCCTATGCTTTTAAAAAATCCCTTTCAGCCAGTAAAGTAATTGAAAATGGGGACTTGGATGTGGGAGGCTTTCCTGCAATGCCTGGCTTAGTCTGCTAGTTTTAAGAAAGGGAAGCAGCTTCTCCTTTTCAGTGCAGTGGAGCATTCATCCCCAGCAGTTCAGGGAGGTCATGCTGAATTCTTTCTTTGCTATATGCCTATGCTTTAAATAAAGCCAGCAGCAGCAGGCGGCAGGTAATGAAATAAACTCTGATGCACTGAGCAGTTTGAGGAGAGATTATTAGGCAGTAGGGAAGTATTTGATTTCTTCTTTCAAAGGAAAACATTATCCCCAAATGGTGGAAGTATCAAAAAAGGAGAAGCCAATGAAGGAGGACTTGGGACTTCTAGAATAGGCCTGAAGGGAGAAACTAGTTTGTCAGTATTCAATGGTTGTCCACTTTGGTGTTACTTTTCATGAAGGTAAAGCTTTGCAGTAGATGATCACAGAACACCATAAAATGATGTTTACTTTTCTTTATATCACTTCTCTGTTATGCTTTGGTGCAATTTTTAAACTCAGCCATCTTCAGCAATGAAGAGCCCAGCCACTTATAGATTATATAATGAAAGTAATGGTTTCATTAGGGGCAATTAAAGCAATTGCACCACTCTGTGAATGAGGTGGTGCAGAAAGAGGTAGTAGAAGGAATCATGTCAATTCTGCTGAAGCAACTAGACTGAGAGTCTGTATCAGTGTGCTACAGTGAGATGGATTCGTGGCCTTCCTTGTTGGCAGTATCCCGCCCACAGTGGCCAAACACTTGAAACCCATTTTCCTCAGTTGCACAAGAGGTAGTTGAAATTATGCATGTGTGACTGCATCTTGCAGTTACTGAAGATACTGGGAACCTCCTTCCACTTTTCAATTGAGTCATATTCCGTCATCTTAGGAGGCTTTTAAGTCTAATTATACACTGAGGATTGTAGAACAGTTCTGTATGTATGAACGAGCTTTGTTGGATTTTTGTTGCTGACTATATTGGCAGTATTGACTAAACACTTATTTATTGTTCTGCTTTTAACCAGTCAGTTCATGGATTGAGTTAACTAGGTTTTGAAAAATAGCTTGGATAAATAGCACAGACTTGTAACAGTATAGAGCAGTGGTTCCCAACCTTGGGTCCCCAGATGTTGGACCACAACACCCAGAAATTCTGACCAGTACAGTTAATGGTGAAGGTTTCTGGGAGTTTTAGTTCAAGAACATCAAATGACCCAAGGCTGGTAACCACTGGTCTAGAACAGTGGTTCTTAACCTTGGGTTACTCAGGTGTTTTTGAACTGCAACTCCCAGAAACCCCAGCCAGCAGAGCTGGTGGTGAAGGCTTCTGGGAGTTCCAGTCCAAAAACACCTGAGTAACCCAAGGTTAAGAACCACTGGTCTAGAAAAATCATGTTAAGGGACACTATGTAATTTTGGCAACAGTGTACCAGAAGCACTGTACATCCTTTTATGGGAACAGCACTAGTCAAAATCTGATAAAAAGGAAATCCAGTTTTCTAACTAAAAACAAAAATTAGACAACCATATAATTATCCATGGGTTATGTCAGCATTTTTTTATACTTCTTAAAGCATTATTGTTCAGCTCAGCATTGCCAGTGCTGTGCATTGAGTAATTAGGTTGGGGGGTGTCTTTGTGATTAAACTCCAGTGTTTGCAATGAGTTGCTGGCCAAAATCCTGTTACCTACTTTGACAGCAGAGGCATAACTTTCAGCTGTGGATTGCCACACTTAAAAAGTCAGTCTGTCATATGCTAATTGCATATGGGTAAAAGGAAATAGCTATGCTGATGTCTTAAGTTGTGGAAATTTGCTGCTGAAAGTTATGGCAGAAATGTACAATAGAGTTCTGATTGTGCTGATTTAGTTAACATATTTTTCATGGTGTGACTGCACTGCAGTTTCCTGGTACTTTAAATTAACTACTGCGTATTTGCTTTCCAATATCTGCTGTCCTCCCTATTTCTGCTATTTTTCTGTACTATATATGAGTTTTTGGCACAATACCTGAGTTTGACCCTCTGATTAAGTTGATGGTGAATTAATTACATAACACAAGAACAAGCAGGACCACAAAAGCCTTCAAATGATTTTTGTGACTTGTACTGTATGTTCAGAGTTTGTTCATATATTTAGTTTATAGCCCTTATGCCACTTCTGTTTTAGGCTGGTGTAGCAATACTGCTGTGTCTTGGAATACATGTTATCAAGTAATCAAATTTGGGTTAATGTGCTTCATTGTCATGTATTTATTTATTCATTCATTTGTATACCACCGCATTAGGCAGTTTTATAGTGTTCTAAAATGTTGCACATATACTTACGTATTTTAACTATATTTTATTGCCTGAAATTCCTTTAGCAGAGCTAAGTTGCAACTAGAGTTGGAATCAATGGTACTTATGGAGAGTTGATTCTCCAGATCTGCAGTGGTTCAATGTGCCTGCTCTAGTGCAATTTACTACACTAAGGAACAGGATTTCAGCCATTATTGATTGTAATATTTGTAACGTATTGTATTATAATGATTTTTAAAAATATATATTTTGTAACTTTTCTTGGAGAAAGGTGGCATATAAGTAAAGTAAATAAATATCTATAAGGAGTATAAATTGGTAGAGAAAACCTGAAGAATTGCAGAATACTTCCATACTGTAATTTTAATGTTGACAATGGAGAAATAGTTATTGTTAATGATTTTGTATACTTCAGTTCAGTCTTCAAAACAAATTTCAACTGCAGTTAAGAAATCAGAAGAAGACTGAGGAGGGCAGCTATGAAAGAACTAGGATGTGAAAGCGGAACAGTGAAGAAAGCTGATGGGAAAAAAATCAGTTATTTTGAAATGTGGTGCTGGATACCCTGGACTGATAGAAAGACAAACAAGTGGGCCCTAGATCAAATCAAGCCAGAGCTTCCTCTGAAACTGGGGCTCTTATACTTTGGGCACAACATGAGAAGATAAGACTTGCTAGAAAAGACAATAATGCTAGGAAAAACTGAGGGTTGTAGGAAAAGTGGAAGACCAAATATGAGATAGATTGACTTCATAAAGGAAGTCATAGTCTTGAATTTACAATAGCTGAGCAGAGATGTTGAGACTAAATTATTATTTAATTAACAACTTGGGATAAGGCGTGGGGTACAGAAGGTAAAGGGGGAGAGGGAGGAGAACATAAAATGTACTGACATCCAATCTATTCATGTTGCAATATCAAATCGACTTTCCGCTTTTCTACAATTTTATTGCCCTCCAGGTTTTAACTTACATTTACATCCCAGTTTAAATCTATGTTATTCAAGCACTATTTGGTGATTGAGGCCATTTATACAACAAATCCCATCATTCAGTTGTCTTTTATATTGGACAGTCTTTCAACACTTCTGATAAAATATCCATTTCTGCCACTTCCTGTATCTTCTCAATAAATTTCTCTTGTTTCGGTATCACCAATTTCTTCCAGTTTTTGCCTTAAAGAATTCTGGCTGCAGTGATTATATATATAACTAAATAGTTCTTTGTCTTATGTATATTATCTGCTATAAATTATCTGCTATAATGCCCAGTAGAAACAATTCTGGGGTTAGTGGAACATTATAAAGCAATATTTTTTGTAACAGAGTATGTACTCCTATCCAATATTGTTTCGCTACTCTGCAAGTCCAACATACCTGGTAAAAGCTTCCCTCATGTGTTTCACACTTCCAACAAGCATTTGACACCTCTGTATAAATCTTTGACAATTTCTCCGGAGTCATATGCCACCTATGAAACATCTTATATATGTTTTCCTTGAAATTAACAATTTTGTGAGCTTTATATTATTTTTCCATATTTGCAACCATTGATCAATGTCAATATTATGTCCTATATTTTGTGCCCACCTAATACATTCTTTAACCATCTTGTCTTGTGTTTTAATTTCTAACAAATAATCATACATTCTCTTAATTACTTTACTTTTTTGAGCCCAGCAGAAGTTTATCAAATATCATTTGTTCTGTGTAAAAGCCCCCTATTTTATCTTTTCTATACCTAGATTCCACTTGTGATCTG